CAAATAGATATTAAAAATAATAATAATAATACATGTAATAATAATAATAATAGTAATAGACATCACTGTCGTCAATGTCCAAATCAGAAGCGATGTTCAAGCACATGTTTTAAACAGCATGATTTAATACAGTTTTATTCGGAATAAAGGCTTGGTAACCATGAGATTTCTTTGATGCATCCTCTTCGGAAGCGAGTTTATTTACTTTCTCTAACTTACAATTCGCCCACCACAACTACAGGGACCCACAATATATATAAGATGTCAATTTTGTCAGCTCTTTGCAGTCATGAGTCAGTAGTCAGAATCAAACTTTCATGTAAGAAATGTAACAATCTGGCACCAGTCGTCGTATTTCAAGGACCCAGATGATGGAGAAACAACTAGCTGTTGTTGTTTGATTTCACTAAGAAGAGACAAGGACCGTTTGAGTCTGCCAGACATTCTTATAAATGATCATAATTCAAGTCTTAAAGAAATTGTAAAGCAAGATTGCATTGTGTCGCCACAATAGATCTACATTTTACTTCTGAAGTTGGACAAAGATTATTTTGTTTTGATTTAAGGCAGACTATTTTGATGAAAAAAACAACAACAGGTGGCGCTGAAGTTGCAGGCCCTACGCCACTGGTGCATACCAGTATTCAATTTGGTAGTTTGGTAAGAGTTGTATGGTGCTCGCAACTGCATAAGGTCATATGAACGCGTGAGACAGCGGGACTCAAGGTAATTGTTTTCACGTTATGTGTAGTTCACAGCACTGCTTGGTTTTACTTTGTCGGAATGCTAGAACTTTTTTTAAAAATTCACAACCAAAAAATTCAGTTTTGAAATCAATAATTCACATTTTTAGGATGGAAAATCATTACACATCAACCTTTGAGTGAGAGATGACGCCTCCAGGTATCCAGGTATCACTTAGCTCCATACTTTCAGAGAAGGACGTTAAGTCCATAATACGGTCATAGATAAATATATTAATATTATACATGTATACACATTTTTCAAAAGAGTTATACCATACCAATCCAACTTCATTGACTCAAATACTGCGATTCATAGCTGATATACAACAACTATTTAATTCTATTTCAAGATATTTGTGACAAGATGCATTTGAAAAAAACAACAACAACAAACAACAACAACAACAACAAAACAAAGAAACAAACACAAGGACGTGAATTTCGTGACGGTTCTGATACTTTATTCCAAGCGCGCTTGCGTCACCGTCTAGTACATGACACCTACCCATGGGAGAAGTTCAGGCATAGGCATGGGGGCAGGGTTATCGAGAGTGCCAGGAGGGCGATGGATATTTGGGCAGTTGGAGAGAGGCACGGACTTGATATAGTCTCTCTTTTCGCAAGCCGCGACTTCCATGCCCATAGGATTCATGTACACTTCACCGTCAGATCCACATACGTAATGGAATTCAGAGGTTATTGGCCGCTGACAGCAGTCTCTTTTGGACAAAATCTGTGGATCAACAGTGAGAAAATTACGATTAGGACTTGTCATCTTCTTCTTGTCAGGAAATGAGGGGCGGGGCTGTGGAGAGGGAAAGAGGGGTGGAGTGCTTGTGTTTGAACTAGTGCTTGCAGTTTATGATTCCAAATTTCAGTGCACAAATAAAGTCATGGCCGTTTCTGCCTTTGTAAAAACAAATAACTTCCTAGTCATTAGTGCGATCTACACCTGAGCTAACTCGGAAGGTCTCCAAAATGACGTCATACGTAACAACCCTAGAACTTTTCCAAATTCTCTCAATTTGACGACAAAGAAAAACAATAGGCAGCTGCTCTCACCTCGTCAAATTGCCAGCCTTGTTTGGCGAGTTTACACCTCATTGACTCGAGGACACATTGAGTGGGGAAGGTCCGGGTGAAGGTCGCACACACAGGTTTGTACTCCCTGGTACAGCGGCGTTTCTTCATGGTGTCACAGGACGCAGACATAGCGCCACCCACGTACACAGCCAGGAGAACCAACACTAGCCACTTCATGATGCTGATGACGACATGGGTGTTTGGCAAGTTAGTTATTGAAAGATTATGAATGCTAATCACCTATTCAAGACACGCCTAGGTCATTTCGAAGGCTGAACTTACAGTTTGGGTTTTCATTTGTCTATTTTTGGCTTAAGCGAACCCGTGGGTAACCGACATGTTTGACAGAGAATTGGACATAAAGTTATAAATCAAAAGAAATGATGTCACCCTACTCAAATTAGTTTATGGATAACCTCGTGTATCAGAGATACGTGTTAACAGGGACGTAAAAAGCGTTAAATTTGGACAGGAAATTTAATTACTCATACCACCCCTACCCTACCTCCGGTTCCGCATTTGTAAAATAATCTAGCATCTGCGTTTGTTCCCATTTTTTTGGTCCAAAAGTTGCCAAAAGTTGCCACAAAAATGGCAAAAGTTGCCATAAAAGTTGCCTTTAATTTTCAAGCTTTCAACTCTCCGTGACGACGTACATATTGCAATAATACGTTGATAGAGGTGACTTAGTCCAAAGCACCAGAATTTATTGTGCTCTGTTTTAGGTATCTAGAATATCATTTGTCGCACACAAAACAAAGGTTCCACAACAGTATGAAAATGAAATAAAAAAATTAGAACAGCACATAAACAACCACAAAAAATAACAAATAAGGGCATGCGTCTACCTATCCGAAGATTGGCCGCTTTAAAATTAAACGTGTGTTATTCAAGAAAAAGTGCAGGATATTAATATTAGCATGTGAATTTTGGAACCACACACAAGGGGCATGCCAGTGTCAGCATTCGGTTTTGGGTGGAGACACGCTCTAACTTTAACATAACACATTTTTACTTTTTTTTCTCTCTTTAATGTAGGAACAACATCACATTAAATGATCACTATGCTATACAATGGGTATACACCAAAAAAAACCCACAAAAAACAACAACCACACATCAGAACAATTTTTAAAAAATTAACACACCAACAAAATTTAAACACAACAAAGAAGGAAAAATATAAGACAAACAGCAATATTATAGTATGTAATGTACCTACATTCTTCGCATGAAAATAACCATACATGAACACCTTAAAATTATCAAAATATATGTCTAATATTGTTATGAAATAGCTTTTTTATGTTGAAAAGTACAAAAACCGCGGCAGCGATTCGCAAACCAAAAAATGCAAAAAATCACGGCCGCCATTCGCGTGTCGCGGCCGCGATAAACGCAGATGCCAGAATAATTGAATCTATTTGTACTGGAATTATGATTGCATGAATGCTTTGTATTTAAAGTATGCTGGGCGTGAAATTTGTTACAGGCATTGGTATTTTGGTTAACGCAATATGAATCTGAGACCAAGAAGTAATTTTTGCTTGGGTGTGAGTTCATCTGAAGTGATCCAGGTTTGATTTGAAACGTTCTTAAATAAATACAAAGTACTCTCCTTAAACTTAAACAAAACGATAAACAAGTGCTCATTTATTGTTTGCTTTAAAAATGTATTAACGCTTAGATTAACACTGATATGTCGACATGTTATCTATCTTTTTCAAAAAGAATTTTGTTTGCAGGAAGCGTACATAATTTTTTGCGTCGATAAAAGCTAAAAACGGCAATATATTTGCGCCCTACGGGCTTCTACTAACACACACACACACACACACATACACACACACACACACACACACACACACACACACACACACACACACACATTACTAACATGATCAGTCTCACCTGTTTAGGAGATGTACCGGTACTGGGTTCCGTCTAGGACAAGAGTATGTTCTCCACTGTCCAGGTTCCCGTCTTTATACACACTGACAGACGTAAATGTATCGTTGAGTGAATCCACAGTACACATTAGCTTCAGTTCATCTCATTTATTTGAGATCATCAGATGACAATCTACATTACACATTGCAGATAATGAACATGGCTAGTACTAGTTCTGGTTGCTTAACTTTTTGTCCTTTGATCCTGAAAAAAATATACAAAGATCGTTCTGCGATTTTACAAATGAGTAAAAGGTAATGAGCTCAGAGGGTAATGAACGTGTCAGTAAGTGATCTCCGTGAACTTCCCATCTCAAATCCAACATGAATCGTTATACTTTTCTCTATTGTACATAGCGAATTACGCTAAATAGACATCACTAGGATCTTTATATATGCCAATTTGTAAGATTTTATCGTTACTTGTGTCACTAAGGCATTCCTATACAAGCCCCTCTCCATATACAGGTGTAGGTGTGCTTTCTTTCGTTTTCATCATCGAGATAACATTCTTTACGAATGTCAGAGAATCGAGCGGCCTACTTCCCCTCCCCTCAGCCAAAATTTAAAAAAAATAAAAAATTTGTTTTAGCTTTAGTAAGAGTTTTACTGCACTTGCAACACACTAAAGTCATATAAATGCAGAAGATTATAAGTGTTACAAGAGAGTAACAAACACAAAAAGAAGGAGGGGAGATAGAGACGATAGATTTCTAAAAGGAAAGAAGGCGCAAACCACACTAGAGCACCCGCCAATCAACCACAGATAAATAATAATGATAATAATAATAATAATAATAATAATAATAATAATAATAATAATAATAATAATAATAATAATAATAGTAATAATAATAATAATAATAATAATAATAATAATAATAGTAATAATAATAATAATAATAATAATAATAATAATAATAATAAAAATAATAAAAATACACTCGAACAAGCGTAAAATAGCAAAACGGCCAACCACTGTCATGGAGAAAAGTGGCCATATAACACAGGTGGCTGTCTTTGGCAGGACTGATCAAAATGAAGAAAGTAAACCATTCCCTTCTGAAGTCCGAACCAGGGCTAATTTAGGCTAAGGACTGTCGTAGACCGAATCTGAAAGGGCTTTTTGTTTTCTTTTGAAAAGGGGGGGGGGGGGTCAACTTGAGTAAACATTCATTGGAGGGAAAATTGAAAATAATAATAATAATAATAATAATAATAATAATAATAATAATAATAATAATAATAATAATAATAATAATAATAATAATAATAATAATAATAATTTGCGCAGGTTACTGAAATGCTTTTGAAAGTCACATAAAAAGATCAGATCTCAATGTTATTTAATTTGTTACACTATCCAGAGCTCTGAAATCGCATACTAGGCCTATCAGCAGTTCTACTTACATTTCTCCGAAGGTTAAATAATATTACAATGGGATCAGGCGCGGTTCGTTCATAGAGCAAAGTCGTGTATTGCCGCCCCGAATTTTTAAATTTTCTATAATAAAAAGCACCCGCTATAATAAAATAAAGGAAGCCAGAAACAAACACTAACCAAAATAATATTACATCAAAATAAGATCCTTGCTAGCGCCGTAATTGTCATTTCTGTGTCTATAGCACCGTAAAACATCTTCTATGCCTTGCCAGAGTCCACGCTCTTTAACTAAAACAGAAGAGAATATTCAACAGTGGTAACCTAACATATAAATCGCTCTTTTGGGATAACCCAAGCGATGACGACACTCGTAGCGAGTTTGGCGGTGCATTGATATTAATAACACGGCACATCTCAAATGTGCTCCTGTCGAATAGTGCCGAAACATAGACCACAGTAGGCAGTCTAAATATAAACGCGATAAACTGTACACTATTCTATGCCAAAACTATGTGAGCCCTGGAGCAATCCAGCAGAGTGTGTAAGTGAATTGGGATTGATTCATAGTTCATTGTCTTGCCACAAGACCCTGTTTTAAGTGACTCTGTGACCCTGAACCTGAAAGAGGTGAACGTGACGTACATAAGTTACCTTCCTATGAAAATTGTGCATTTGAAGGGTTTTGTTAGTTGAGTGGTGAAAGTTATTACTTGAGTGTTCAGTTCTAATGCAGGATGAATGAAATTGACGTTTAACTAACAAACAGAGTTAGTTCTAGAAGTCAAAGCCACAAGTAAAAAGAATGACAATAAAAGCACGAGGTCCTCCCTCACTAACCCAAAGATCCTAAAATGATACACCATCTCATTTACTATGCCCTTGACTATCGTCAACCTGCAATAGCTTAATTGTGAACGCCCACTTTTTAGCGTCACGAGCCGCCCCTGGAAGGAAAGGAGATAGAGACGACAGACTTCTTATAGGAAAGAAGGAGCAAACCAAACCAGAGCACCCGCCAATCACCAACAGATAAATAATAATAATAATAATAATAATAATAATAATAATAATAATATAGTCGAACATGTGTAAAATAGTAAAATGGCCAACCGTTGTCATGGAGAAAAGTGGCCGTATAACACAGGTGGCTGTCTTTGGCAGCACTGATCAAAGTGAAGAAAGTAAACCATTCCCTTCTGAAGTCCGAACTGGGGCTGATCCAGGCTAAGGACTGTCGTAAACCGAATTCGAAAGGGCTTTTTGTTTTCTTTTGAAAAGGGGGAGGGATGTGGAGGAGTGTAAGAGGGGTTTGTTGTTGTTGTTGCTTTGTTGGTTTGTTTGTTTGTTGTTGTTTTCTTTTCTTAGCTTTTTGATTGCTGATTGTTATGTGCATGGATAAAATAATGAATGTAAGACGATGAAGACCAAGTGTCATTGTAAAACAAACACTGGGTCACCACCACTCGAAGAAGGAGCGACGCTTCTGTAACAAGTTCACTTCAACGTCCATTGTTACTTTGTTACATATGAGGTAAACAAAACAGTGACCAGTCACTTCACGCACAATTTGTATGAGTTGTGGGCGGGGCTTATAGTTTATGACGAACACACACTTCCCTCACAAGCAGTTGAAAATGTATTGTTACCCATTGGTCAACTTTGGTAAACATTCATTGGAGGGATTAACAATAACGACAGGTGAATGGATTATGACGGCCTGTCCACAGCGCCAGAGGCCGATTTAGAATTTATGAAAGAGCATTGGGCGATTATAGTTATAGAGACCCCGCCTGGCCGCATGAGACAGGTACATTTGACTCTGGGTTGATAAAATAAGGTGGCCGAAGC